TCTCCTGCCCCTACTTTTTTGAAGTAGTGCCAGTTTTTTTCTTAACCTAAAGTTAGTTAATTTAATAGGACACACTGAATGAAGTTTGTAAGTAACAATATATAAGAACAAATGCCTCTTCTTTTGCATTTTTATTTTCAGATGCTGTCAGACTCCACCTGACCATCTGCTGATCATCTGTTGTCTCCTGTCATCAGTCTGCTGCCTACACATATGCTGCTCAGCTTTAGCGTGTAGAAAGCAGAAAGCTGTTTTTCTGATGCTTTTGGCCAGAATGTTGTCTGGCTAAAGTCTTTCCTTCCTGCTTCCTACTTGCTTCCTCATCTGACCGAGTGTGGCTGATGTCTTGCCTGCCCACCTGTTAGATCAGCTGTAAGATCATTGTTAAAGCAGTGAACTTCCTTTTAACGCTTTAAATGCTCATTGAAAATAATTTGGGCATTTCTTGTCTTTTTCCATCCTTGCATGATGACTTTTCCACCCTGTGACCACTTTCTGTGATGGTACTTTATAGTAGAAACAGTGCTCAAGGGCTGTGCTATACTTCTGTTATCACTTGTCAGCATTATAAAGAATGCGAAATGTGGAAAGCAGTACAAGTAAAGAAACTGTCTTTTTTTTTAAAAAGATTACAGTATAAGCAAGGTGCCATAAAGTATCCAAGCATATCGGCTAATAAAAGGTTTCCTTAATATTAGAATTGTTTACTACATTTTCTTTCTTTTTTTTAACCATAACTTTATATAAAAGATGGATGTAGCCACCATCATGTCACCTATTTATTTCTGAACTCTGAAGTGTTATGGTAACAGATAAAACTACTGTATATATAATAATATTTATGGAATGAATTTATTCAGCTGTACCATGATCTGGATGCTGGCATGCTGCCAAACACACAGTAAGGATTTCCCTCCCTGAGTTTGTTTAGCATAGTCTCAGTTGCCCTGCACACATACCAAGCATATTAGTGCCAGCTGTAGCAACTGGGCTGGAATCACTTCTGCTGGTATTGAATTGCTGATTTGGTGAATTTTTAAATGGGATTTTGCTACCAGCATTTTTGCACCATTTCTGTATCTATTTGCACGTCAAAGTGCATTGTTTGGTCATTGTTTTACAAACCTCAAATACGACAGAAAGAGTAGAAGACCATCTGGGACTCCACCAACTGCTCTTAGAACTGAAGAAACTTCTTGGATGAGAGATGAAAAGTCTTCAAGAAACTTTAAAAAGTCCAGATGCTTTTCTTTCCAAGCTCCTTAGAGTACGATGACCTGAGAGCCTCCACAGTCCTATAACCAGCCCAACTGGTAGTCAGTGTGGGCCAAAGTAGCTTAGCCCCAGTTAGCGCTCCCTTGGCAGGTCCTCCCGAGCAGCCAGGAAATCAGGCTGCATTGGGTGACCTCCAGTGCTCCACCAACCTTAACTAGGAAACTTTTTGGGGAAACCTGGTCTTGTTAGGAGATGTTAGATAGAGAAGCTCTCTTTTTTCCTGAAATCTGGCTGAATTTATTAAACACCCCAAAACATGACTATCCAGACTTGGGACCAGTTGCAATCTTATATGTTTCTCTGCATTTTTTTTATCCCACAGAAATCGATTATATCTTATTAATATTGTAGCATCTGCACTGCGTATGACCCTGGATTCTGTGTTTTCTCTGAAAAAGAAGGCAGCACATTACAGATGCTTGATTGCTTGACTCCCTGGTAACTCACAAACTTCCACCTTGAAGTAGATAATGGATAGGCTGAAGAAGAATTGGTGTTACACTTTTGGCCTAAAAAAATAGTTTGTTATTCTACAAAAGCCCTCAGTAAAGCTAGGACATCTTACTATTCGTGACAAATTAACTTCAGCACTGTAGCCAGGCTGAGAAAAAGTCCAATTTTTAATGAGCTAAGTCTGTTAACCTTAACTAGCAATGACTTTAGGAATTTCTTCCCAGATGAAACTGTAATAATTAGAGAAAAAATTATTTACAGCTATCCCACAGATGTGCCTTAAAGTACAGCAACTTTAATAACTGATATTTGATTGATGTTTACTTGGACCCCTTCACTTCGATCAGCCTCTCTGAGTTAATGTCTTCATCTAAACCCTAGGTCACCAATAGACAGAGTGCGGGCTGGATCTGCATAGATGTTTCTCCATTCTGACAGATCTATTACTAGATTTTGATGGACTGTTTCTAATTTACTCTGCACAGCATTTCTTGTATTTACGGTAAGGTTGTTTTAATCTGTGCAGCCTTTTCCTTTGTCTTTGGTGGTCAATGTATATACAAAGGCAACACACAGACGAGTCACATGCTTTGTAACTCATCCCACATAACATTACTTAGCAAATCAAATGCTTTATTCAGGGCATGTGTGAAAACAGAAAACTCATGGGGGAAACACATAGGGAGAAAATAATATTCAAAGTTGAGATGGTTTACAGAAATGGGGTGATTCAAACAACACCTTTATTAAAATTAAGCAAATCTAAAATCGAAGCCTTATTTTACTTGAAATGAGAAAATAAATAATTTTTAAAATTTATTTTCTTACTAACTGAAAATGAATAATAAACATTGTTGAAATACTATTGAATTGTAATTTATTTCAATTACTTGAGAGCCAGATGTTGACTGTACTGTGGTAGCACTGTGCTCCACTTGCTTGAATCATATCAATCTTATGAATTCCAATTTTTGTATGTAAATGGTGAATCTTTCTCACACACAAAGGTTTGTCATGGAGTTCCACAGGGTTCCATGCTGGGAACAATACTTTTCACATTATTCACCCTCTATCAGGCCGGTTGCGGCAGATTGCTCCTTCCCTGAGCCTAGTTCTGACAAAGGTTTCTTCCTGTTAAAAGGGAGTTTTTCCTTCCTACTGTTGCCAAGTGCTTGCTCATAAGAGATTGTGTGATTGCTGAGTTTCTTTCTAATCGAAGCTTGTTCTGTTATGAATTGGTACTATATAAAATTTAATTAAACTGTACTGATTGAACACTAGCTGCATTAGTTGGCTACCTTTCATTCATAAACGAGATATTTACATGAGGGTAAAAAACTCCCTTTGTGTGTCCTTCACAACCGACAACTACTTTCAGCTACTCCCTTATTTCCCAGGGGTTTCAATGGCACATGATACCACATGTTGATTTTTTTTTTCTAAACGCCCTTCCTGACACAACCGTTCCATTTATCCAGGCTTGGGACCAGCAATGAAAATTATGACCTCTGAGGCTGGGCTTGTGTCTCCTTCTGGTCTTGAACTGGATGTTTTCCACCTTTAAGGCAAATGTGTTAACCACAACACTACAGAAAAGGCTCAAAAAAAGCAGTCTCTGCTTTGTAATTTAATATTGCATGAAAACTCAAAAGCCTGTGCTTGCATCAACTGTTATGTATAGTGTATACATGTATTAATGTCTATCAAGTATTCACACCGATGCCTTTCTTGGAGACTGATGTTACTGCTAAACATTTATTGGAGGAATGAAATGTTATGTTAACGGATATAATGAAGGATATCAGCCAGGTTGCATTTACACTTTCATACAAAGTATGACACATTTGTGCAGATGAAACTGCTTAACAGCGCATAAATGCAACCATAATAACAATAATAATCCAATAATGCTATATAGTAGTATACATTGCTAATTCCTAGTTTTCTTGCTTTTGCAAAGAGTAATTTGATAGATTTACATCCATATTGGTTTTTAGAATTACATTAGGAGATTGCTGCTGTTGCAGAATTACACTTTAGTGAATGTCAGTTTTGCTTGGTGCATGAAACAGAAAAGATAGTAAAACATACATTAAAAAAATTATTTTGCTTATAGATTCTTTATACTTGTAATGGGAGATACATCAGAGGATTTGGGATGCAGAGGCCTCTGAGCTTCTGTTCAGGACAAACACATGCAGACACTATTAAATATATCAGCGTGCAGAGAAACAATGCTTTCAGATTTGCATATAGGAAGAGGACTTCTCGTATTTCGTCACTCATGTTGGTGACTGACAACCCAGTGTCAAGAAAAAAATAGTCTCAATGGATTCCAGACAGTTACATAATGAGGTACAGTGACAGAAACAAGATGCAGGATGATAACATTTACCGTCAACAGAAGGTATGCAAATATTTCTTTTCTTTACATTAAAGTTTATTAAACACAGCACACCTCTGTTATGATATGCTTTACAACTTGATTATTATGTTATTAAAAAACTAACAAGCATAAGCTTCCAGGAATTGCCCTGTGCAGAACCATTCTTTTTTTTTTACATAATCCAACCGAGTCATTAAAGTGAGCTCAAGAAACATAAATCTTTCAAAAAGCAGAAAGTTGCATTACAGGAAATGTAATATCACACTTTTTTAAAGATTAAAACAATTTGGGGAATAAGAATTAGTCTCTAATGACTTCTTAAAATCACCCTCTAATGACTAGAAGAGTTAAATGTCACCTAATGTTTGCAGTTAATGAGTGGAATTGTTTTGAATTTGTTGTTTGTGTGTCTAGTTCAGAAGAAAAGTCAGCCCAAAATGACAGTCGGGCAGCAGTTTCCGCTATATATGCAATCATAAATGTGATTAATACACCTCAGTTTTATGTTGATCGTCTTAAGGTGGGAGGAAGAAAAGCAGATGAAAGCCAGCTTTAAGCAAATGTTTTACTCCAGTAAGACTGAAGGTGACCAGGCCCAGCAGAGAAGTCTAAGCCCTTGTTGTCCTCTAAACACAGACATTAAATATGATAAGATGCGGGCTGGATAATGACACAGTTTGACTAGTTTTCTTCCATACCAAGCCACTGTATTCACTATCAATATTATGGGTGAGACCGGAACACATTGCTCTGCTGGATTTGCACTTCGAGAGAATTAGAGTGCACGTGTCCATGTGTGTGTGCATGCATGTATTAGTCCCACCCATTATCGAGAAGCATGCACACACACATCGGCACCGAAGAAGCTTTAAATAGGTGGTGCGTATGAAGTCACAATTTTTTTGCCATTCTGGGGTCAGTCACTTGCCACTGCTGTCAGTTTAAGCAGTGACTGCAGGAGGTAAGTGTCAGCTTTTCTGCTACAGCTATGAATGGTATTTGTCCAAAAATTAAGTTAAGCTGTTGCTTTGAAGCATGAAAATATGGGAATGGAGCACTTCATTGAAGTTGCACACTTAATGTTGTTGTGATGTGTGTTAGAGTCACTGCTGCAGTGGAATAATCTTTATTGGTTAATTGAAGAAATTTAACAGTCATTGCAAAACAGAATGTGGCAATATCAGTCATGTTGTGTAAAACAACAAGTCACTTTTTATGGAATACATGCCCAGATGATTAAGTATGCACAAACAATAAGATAAGAATGCTTTTCTCATTTGCAATTTTAATGATCTTTGAGACACTTGCAAAGATGCAGATTTTTTTTTGCAAAAAAATGGTGCAGCAATTTATATAAAAGTGTCAAAATAAATGGAGATACTATATATAAAGCCAAAACAGAAATATATGATTCCAGAGCTTGAGAGTGTATAATTGGTATGACCATATTTATTCGTCAGCACAGCCTGAACACTCTTAGAGAAGCGTTCTTGTCATTTCTTTGAGTAGTCTCCAGGAATAGTTCTCCAGGTTTATAATGGACATTTAAGGCTCTTCTTTAGATGTCTTTATGCAAGATGATCCCACACTGCTTCATCTTTAGCTTCAGACTCTTGGGAGGCCAATCCATGACTGGTAGTGTACCACTATGTGTGTTTTCTATCCAGGTATGCTTTTAATACATTGGCAGGCAGTGTGTTTGTGTCATTGTCATGCTAAAAACATGAAGCTGCTTCCAATCAAAATGGAACAAAAGCTGCTTTTATAATTTCATCAATTTTGACAAGAGCTCAACACCACTGGCTGAAATGTAGCAGCAAACCATGACAGAGGCTCCACTGTGTTTTGCAGATGCTGTGGACACTCACTGTTTTATCTAGCTCCTGAACATTCTCTGTACATCCTTAAAATGATTTGAACAAAAGAATATTCATCATTGCATAGATAGGGCATGACTTTTCAATACTGTTCACCTGCTGTAGGGGTTTTTTTTGTCTTCCGTGTGTCCAGTTTCTTTAAGGGCACACTGTACACCATGCCAAGATATGGGAATAACTGTTTTGGTGCCAAAATACAATTTTAGTTCTGTCAGACTGCATTATCTTTAGATTTTTTTATTTTATAATTTATTTTTTTTTGTAGATTTAGGAAATTGGAGGAAATTTCATTTTTTTGCGACAGGCCACCGGTAACAAAACGCCTAAAGACACAATTTCATATTGGTTCTTTGCTAAGTTTTCTGTTATGTGTAGACACAACACGGGTTCATTCCATGAGTCGCTCAAGACCAATTTCAAAAATTTATAAGAAAGTCTGGCAACTTGGAAGCAAAATTTATAAAAAAAAAAAAGAGGAGTGACTCATGACTTTCACAGAATACTGTATATTTGCAGAAAAATGCACCTGTTATGCACCTACAGCTACCCATATAACATTTGCTCCTTGTACATATAAAGAATCTGCACATAAACACTTAATGATTCACATATATGCACACACATACACACAAGGTTGAACAGGTGACGCTACACTTTGATTCAGCCTCATACTTATCTTAACTTCTACCTCTGCCTCTGTAACCCTACTGTTACAGCCAGACCTTAAACTTGACTGTCTTCACTGTTAAATGCATTGATTTACATTCTGGTGACTAGCATTTTGTCCTCAAAAGAAAAGAGAGGATGCACAATGTTACTTATTTAGCACACCACATATTTTGTTTTATAAGTACACACCCATGCACTTTAAACACTGTCTAGTCAGGCTAAGCTGAATTCTGCCCTTTTGCTCAGTTCTGTTTTGTAAATAATGTATTTTCCGTCTTTTCCAGCTGCCTAGAACTGAAACATCGACAGTAACCTCATTGCAAAGTGTCAGGTAAGGGTCACCCCCCCCCCC